AGATAGATAGATAGATAGATAGATAGATAGTCATATTCATGATCCTTTTTGTAACCTAAGGTGCTCCTTATTGTAACCTTCGAGGTTACAAAAAGGAGCATTTTGCTACACCTGGCTCCTTTTTGTAACTTCAGCATGCTCCTTTTTGTAACCTTGTTTGCTCCTTTTTGTAACCTCATGCTCCTTTTCGTAACCTTATGCTCCTTTTAGTAACCTCTGGTGCTCCTTTTTGTAACACAAAGCTTTAAGCAAATTTCAAGTTTTAAACAGGATTTTGAGGTTTAAACATAATTTTCCATATGGTATTTCTTTTCAAACTCCATTATTCTCTTCAGAATATGCATGGATAAATAATACACCAAAAATGAAGATGGAAAATAAAAAGACACCGAGATACTTTTTTAGAACTAAAGCTAATTGTATTTTGGCTTTATTTCTTTGGATTTTCCCTACAGTCCTCCATAAATAGCATCATAAAGAGACATTTCATTTTGAAAAAGTTGAATTATATGTAAATTGTGTAAAGGACACTGTATTATTGTAACCATGTTTTGTGGTAATGAAATGTCTTAACCTTGGATTTGATTCCTATAGCAGGAGATATACACTTTTGCCATGTTTTCCTTGCAAAGTACCCACACATAATTGAATGCAGAATGAGTGTGTAAAGAATCAAATAATTAACTGTGATAAGTTGGTCTAAAATATTTGCACTTGAAATTTTTGGAAGAGTCAAGGCTGTTTTCCAGTTACGCGTTTTACGTACATACAGGCACGTAAAAGTCAAAATAGATGTTATCTTTGAAAAAGCTAAGTAAATAAATCAAAAGAACTTAGTTTTCCGCATATTTTAGTATGCACTTGTAGACCTAGATGTTAAATAATAAGAATTTCGAAGCATTTAAAGTTTACCGTGCGTGTACGTTCTTATAAAAAACGCAAAACTGGAAAGCAGTCTTAATGAATAATTGAGAAACTGGATTTGTTTATAAAATAACTTTAAAACACGGGAATAATAAACACTGAAATCCAGGCAAGTTGGGAACATATTTATTAAAAACATTACAATTATTATATGGAATACTAATCATTTATACTGTACCCATATTGTATATCTATTGTATATAGGTGAAATTTTACGTATTTCACACCTGTAAGGATCATATAATGAATTTTTTAAATTAAATAGATAATTCAGTTTGTATTAGCACTAACATCGTTATAATATCATGCAACTAATTGACTAAAAAATAGCGATTATAATATATAGTTTATACATTATATATTATATGTAATAGTAGGGATGATAATGAACACTATGTCCAATGTCCAATTCTACTAAAGCACTTGTATATTTTAGCCAAGGCTATGCTGCTATCTGCTCAGAACCATACCTAGAAGCTTATTGTAGATTTCACAAACTGTTCAAAACGTGTTTGCGAAGTTCGGTGCGAAGTTCGCAATTACGTTTCGAATGTTCGAAGTTCAAAACAAACTTCGAAAGTCAAGATCGTAAATTTGAGTCACGAAGCATTAAAATATAGAAATAAGGTACTTTGAGTAAAACCAATTGAACTTTCTTATATACTTTAGATAGTTGCTGAAACAATCTACTATAAACTTGCATATCTGTTATACTTTGTTGAAAAGTTCTGTTATATGTAAATGATTGCTGAGCCCGGCTGACTTTTAACGTTTAAATATTAATTAGCTATTTTTTAGCCTTACTTTTCAATTTCTTTTTCTGCTTGGTACGAACAATGGCTTTTCGCTCTGAGCGCACTCTATCAGCTAATTGGCGGTGAGTAAATGTTTCCAACAAATGGGAGAGCCCAGGTGTCTTTTGCAAGGTTTCTATCACTTTTTTATAACAACGGGTTTGGACGAGTGAAGGAGCTTTGAAAAGGTTTTAGTAAATAAGTGTTCTTCTTCTATGGTTAGAAGTGACGTCAATGTCCGTTTAGAACTATGCACCGATGGAGCATACTCGCTGTCACAAGTTTTAGGAAGATCTTCATCTGGGTTGTTTGTAATTTCTAAAATATAAGTGTTAGTTCAATTATTCAAGGGAAAATGTACATATAAAATTTCTATAATAATCCTACTTATTACAGTTAGTGTACATACCACTTCCTTTGCTAATATCATTGTCTTGTGAAACTGAATCTGTAATATCTGTAAGAGAAATCAGATGGGAACTTTTTAGAGTATACTAGAAATTGCAAAGATATACCACTAGGTATCATACTCAATTGAGTCTCACTGCATTGATCTTTAAATTTTAGAAAAGTATCCCTGGGACAAGGGTATTTGTTCATCCCTTTAGAGCTTCCTTTTGATCAAGTATAACTAACCTAGATATTTCATGTAAACAGATGATCTTATCATCAATTCCCAAAAAAGTTTTAACATACCATTGTTAACATTTGGTTGTATTAGACCAGCACGCTCCATACGCTCTTGACAAGATTCCATTTCACCCGGCAAGGATGGTGACTTCTCACTTCCCGATTCATCTGTCCCAAAGTATGAGCGAATTTTGTCACAAATTTTTTTCAGGGATATACATCGTAGAATAGGTATTCCTTTAGTGATTTCTTTAACCTGCCTTAACGTTATTGACTTCCGCTTTATATGTTCAGAAAATGCAGATCCTAATTCCAAAATTTCACTTGGTGTCCATTTGTGCCTTTGTTCTGGATTTTCCACCTGAAGAGTGTCTGTGTTTTCTTCCATATTAGCTTGACCAGATGACCTCATTATCTTTGCCAGTTCATTTGAAGTTCTTACAGCAGATTTCCCTTTATTTTTTAAGAGATAGTAACGATCAGCTGTTGATTGCTTATGAACCATAAGGTCCGCTAAGTCCCCACGTAAATCCTCATTCTGCTCATGAACTGCGGATACAGCAGCTTTTCTGAAGGCAGTTGCTCCTCCCATAGACGTTTCTTTCAAAAACTTTCCCCCAACACGATCCCATCTGGGCACCAACTTGCGATGACTTCATTTTCTTTTGGTTAGAAGTTAAAAAAACTGGCGAATCTTTATCTGTGTTAACATCTGCCAAACGATTTCTGAATTTCTGAATGTAAATTTTAGTATATCTGTAAAGAGATGCATTAAAAATAACATTCACAGGGCCATGAGAAGATAGTGTCTTGTGGTCCCGCACTCTCACAATGAAACTTTCATCCTCTTTCGTGGATCTTTTAAACTCACCAAGAGTCATGTTTGCTAGTGTTCCAGATCTGCTGCCATTGTTGATACACAGGACAGTTAAGAGGTAGTCTCTTACAGCAGTATACTCAGGCTGGCTTGGTGGTTCTTCTTTATCTTGGTATTCTCCAAGCAGACGAATGGCCTCCCTAGCAACTTCCGAAGTGTCAAATTGTTGAATTTGCTGGGGGGTTCTTATTGCCTCAATGTCATCCATGCGTTTTTCCCAAAAACGTTGCTTGCTTTGTTTTCTGAATGACCTAGCCCATAGTCTCACTTGGTCTGAAAGACTGGTTAACCTTTCTACTGAAGTATTGACATCTATATTTTCGCATTTTAAAAACCCATAAAATTGATTCAATGAACCAAGATATGATTTCACAGTTCCAGGCTGTTTTTCATGGTCAAATTTATTTAGCCAATTTTCACGGAGTGTTTTTTTTTAATGCAAAATATTGTTTAAAGATGGGTTTGAACTATCGATATAATTGACAACTAATTCGACTTGTCTTCTGCATTGTACTGCAGAACGATCATTTTTTTTCTCACCATCTGCCCCTTTTAACCAATATTCAAATTTGTCAAAAATCTTTTGCAAGCTCTCATCGAAAACCACAGGAGTAATTGTGTTCTCACGAAGTTGTGCTTCATCAACGCTTATTTCAGAATTTCTGGATCCTTTGTCACTGCTTCCTCCACTATTATAAACAGTATCGTATAGACTAGGAGAGTGCATGGCATGGGATTCGCTTTTTTTTTTTGCTGGAGGCCTGTACATCTGCGAAGATGAACACTGCCATCACTGCTAAATGATTCAAATGACTCAGCTAAACTTAGGGCCACATCATGACATACAGCATTTTGTAGGCATTTCTTATAGAATTTGCTGCCTCTCTTAATCCCATGTACATCAGTTAAATGGTTGTGAATTCTTTTAACAATTGAAGTACATTCGTCAATTGGACAAATAACACTTTTATAAACACGTTTTGTTTTCCTTTTTGATTCAGCTTTTCGCTTTCTTAAACTAAACGAATTTAGAACAGAGTGGGCTTTTCTGGGGCTCCATCCATGACATTTCCTCATGTGCCGTGGGAGATGGACGACTGAAGAATGGCAATCAGGAAAAGGGCATGTATGTTTAGGTCTCCCCTTCTTACATGACCCTTTATGTGGGGATGACGACGATTTGTGAGAGCGCTTCTCACTCTCAGTGGGTGCGGATGATGTACATTGCTCCGGTTCTATTCCGCACTCCTATAAAGAGTAGAAGATTTGTGAAAGGAATAACTAAATTGTGGAAATTTGTGTACAAGTTTAAGGTAACTAGGAAATAAAAATATACTAGTCATCACTTTGTGCAAAAATATTCATTTAAATTTTTCCATTTTTACCTTCTCACAGTGCTCTGAACTGAGTTGTTTTTCGGGAACTAACTATACTTATTAATATATTATTTCTTCTAACGGTTATGTGAATGAACAAATTAACATACCAGGTTTAGGTTATCACATTTTTGCTCTGTATTTTCTGGCTTTATGGCAACGTTTTCATTCAGTAACTCTTCAATATCATTCAAAAATCTATTCACCTCATCCTTGCAAGTAGATTTTAACTAAAAAATGGACAAAATATTCTTGGATGTCAATGCTCTCTTAATAAGGCTCTTAGTCTGGAAGAAGTTTTTACATGCAGTGAAAAAGGCAATTGAATAACTGAGTATTTTTAGAATATAACAGAATCAGTGGTACAGAACTTGACAATATTTTTCAAAAAGGTGCTGAAGTAAATAACTACAATGAATCAAACAAGCTTTTATTTCACAACATACCAGTTCAGGTATTTCAATCATAATTTGAACCTTTCTTTCATTTTCAATGTCTTCCCAATCATCTGAATATTTACCGCCAGCATCCTAAGAAATCAACACAGTTTCTGAACTCCTATGAGGTCAAACTATGTTTGAAAGCAATGAAAAATAAATTACATAATCCTAACAAGTTTAGACCACTTAATCATCAACATTCAGTTGTATAAAACCCTGCTCATATTCAGCATTGTATGATTTATGGCGGCGATGAATTCTACTCACATTTACCACATTAGCGATTTTCAACAAAAGAGCCAATATCTGGTGCCTATTGCTCCAATCTTTTTTGAAAGAAAAATTCGCATTAAAATACGAAATCCCTTTACCACTCATTGGTACCTGTAATTATAACAACAATATCACCATGAATAAACTGCTATAATTGCCATACTTTTTGGACCAGGAACTGGTCCCTAACCACTGCTAATCTTGTTGTTGTTGTTTTTGTTGTTGTTGTTAGGGGGCGACGCTCTTTAAAAAAACCCTTAGGCTCTAGCATTACTTGTTTGATCGGAATGAAACTTGGCACAATTATTCTAAGCAATATTCCGCATCGATTGACCGAGTTCGAATTTTTACTTTTGACCTTTGAAGCAAGTTACAAGCACTTCTTGATATATTTGCAGCAAATAATATATACATATCATTAATATTCAGCCTATATATAAGTAAACGGAAACGATTAGAAATACATTGTCCTCTCCAATGTTATAAATACAATGCAGTTCAGAAATTAAACTCGGTTACGCAGTTCCTTGTCCACTACAGGGTGTCCCAAAAAAAACGAAAACTATTGAAATCACCCATAACAATGCCATTGTTAGAGTTTGAATGCCTAAGCACTCTGTTGGGCCCACAAGTGTATAAATCGGGGTTGCCATAAGCATTTTTATGCATGCATATGATGCAGTCAAATTTGCTTGTTCGCAAAAATGATATTTATTAACAATATTTACAATTTACAAATATGGATAACAATATTTAAATGTGCATCTCACTGAAAAACCATGACCTTCGACATGTCCCCTTTCTCTAGCAACACAAAGCATTTAGCATTTTATAAGTTGCATTAAATCCCCACGGGCTGAAATTCGTGAACACGACATTCAAATTTTAACAATGAGTGATTTCAATAGTTTTCGTTTTTTTTGGGACACCCTGTATAGTACGATCGTACTTGTTACAGTCACTCAAAGCATATACGCTAGGGCCTGATTAATTTAAAAACAAAATATATAGACGAATGTTAAATTAAAAAAAACGTTAACCTGTTTGATTGAATATAACTTCAAATTATGGCATATTAAGTAATAATTTTATACGTATTTTGCAAACCAAAAGAACACAATATACATTTCAAAAATTAACAAAAAATATCCGCCTAAAACCGCTACCGGGCTTGCCCGCCTCATGTGAATCAGAAAATAAACTGGCCCGGCAAATAGCAACTTAAACCTTTTTAAAATTCACGGGCGTATTGCCTTAACTGGACTCTCTAAATTTATTGCGTGCTTTTGGCGTGCTAAGAAAGGGAAATGTAATGACATAATTAGCGTATATAATGATCAGAACTATGTTTAGTAGCAATCTTTATAACTTAACTTTTAAAATTTCAACTTTTCCATGCACACACATACCAATTAATTAAATCTCAATTACAGTTAAAGACGCATGGTAAAGCATGTGCTAATTGACGTCAAGTCACAATTCAATACTCAATTCACAAACTGCATCTCAGGGCAGTATTATATAACCTATGATGCATAATTTAGTATAAAAGACATATACATAGGTACCCAAAGTGTTGAAACAAGAATTCGACAAGTATAAATAGTTACTAACTTTCGTATATACCATGCAAGCTACGTAAATCACGCAAATTTGAAGAATGTACTGGAGTTATATCATATAAATTATGCATTGAAAATCAATAATTGTAAAATAGCGCAAATTACTGGCATGTGAATAAATAAAGATGATGAAATAAACAAAACTATTATACATGTATACTCACTTTGACTTGCAATCAGGATAGCTTCTCTTTCAGATGAGTTAGAATGCTCCAATTAAATAAGCTGTTAAATAATCCAAGGTTTCCAACACACAATTTTATGTACTCATATAGATCTACATTAAAGAACTGAAATAAACAAAAATTTAACGGGATTTTATAGGCAAGATCTGCAAACTAATGCTTACGTAACGGATTTAATGAAACTACCACAAATTGCGTATTTACTGCTGAAACATTCTTCTAGCTTTTGAATGGTCAACCAACCTACGCAATTGACCAGGAACCGAAAATAATGGACATGTTATTGATGCTTAATAAAACTGTTAAATGAAATAACAATCTAGTGCATGGGATATAGGGAGGCGATAGCGCATACGGGCATATATGCTCTAGGTTGAGGGGCTGTTAATTTTGGCGTTCGATGTGACCTAACACGAACTAGCAACAAAAAGAACTAATTTGCTTCTTTTTTTAGGTTTACTGTATGCTAATATCTGTTTTAAATCCTTATAGGACAAATATTTCTACTC